TATTTGATATTTCTTGGCTCGTGTTCTTTAAATGATTTTCTGATGTTCCTTAAGAAGAGAGCGTGCCTCATCAGATCAAACTTTTAGTCCCTTTACCCACAAACACTGTGTTCAAAATTTTATTTAAATTATCCCATTGATAGTGGTAGAAAAAGAAAGATTTCTAATTAGAGGATATACAACGAAACATATTATGATAAAAAGTCTAATTTGAGCCTTCGGCTCCGGTGAACAGTCCGGTAAGCAAAACCATTCTTTTAAGTTTTCGTTTACTTTTTAAGATGAAAAAAGTGGACGTTCACAAATATCAAATAATATACAATGACCCGCTGCTTCTTACCTGTATTAATGAATTAATATTACTGGAAAAGTCAATCCCGCTGAAATTAATAGTTTCCATGTTGACGTTTTTTTTTAACTCGGAGATATTTCTAATCTTTTAGGTCATCTACAATGGATAAAAAGATAATTTTACATGCAAATTTTTAGAACGTTTGTTCTTTTGATGATCACATTGGTTCTACAGTGACAACAACATAGATGACCCAATATATAAGCTCCTTGACAAGATTATTTTTCTTCAAATTCAAGTCAAGAGGTAAAAAAAAAAATGTTAGTACCTTCAGAGAGGTCTCGTCAAAATATAAAAGCCTTTTGCATCAACCATTCAAAAATTACAGTCAAAAATTATTTTTTGGAAAAATAATTCATACTTTAAGGTAAAGGACATGATTAAAAAATTGTTGGTGTGCAAGGAAAAAAATATCTTATCAGAAGGAACACATATGTAAAAAAAACAAATGTCATGGCATACACCTATTATTGCTAAAATTGCATAAAAATAGGGATGTCACATATTTGTGTTTTGGCTCTTTTTAGCAGAGAGAGCGATAACAAATGCGAGCTCTGAAATAAAGATAAACATACATGACGATGCTGGTCACTAGGGTTGACCATTTTACCATAAGGGTTCTAATTTAAAAAATGATTCATTAAACTTCGGTTGTTTACTTGTTTATTGAAAGGTGTATTTGGTTAGGACGCTGAAGAAATGGATAGGATTAAAGTCTCCAGAAGTCAGTTGCATTTGTGGTATAAATTAGTTATATCAAAAATATTTAAAGCGACCAGGGCAGATACGATTTCAGTGGAAAGCTAAACTATGACTATTTATGTTGCATTTATACAGGTAACATATCCATTCCCCAACCTCTGCGAACTGCTCAGGTCAGGATGGGTGTGAAAAGTCCTCCTATATTGGAGAAGGAATTCTAATAGCCAAAAGTCATTTCGAATAAATAAAATTTTGACTTCGGTCATTTTGACCAGGATCATGGATTGCAAGGTATCATCTCACAGGCATAGCCAAAGATCCTTGGTTAGGAAAACAATGCATGATCGGCCCAATGTCATTCGAGACTCTGTCATCCTCAGTCTTTGGTGTTTGAAGTATTACGAAAAGGCAATTAAGGCTAGAGTTCAGAATTAGGTTGACCCGGTTATGATAATCCGTTCAAATTAATAGCTTTGATTAAGATTCATTTTTTTTCCAAAATAGGACAATCTCCAAGGGAAAAATCAAAAAGTTAAAACACAAATTGTACCAAAGGAAAGATCTTCTCACAAGTAATATACGGCAAAAATATAAAAAAAAAAAACCCTAGAAACATTTGATCAAGAGGTATGACAAAGTTTTTTATGCACAGTAATCGGGTATGTGGTTTGACTTCTCTGTCTGTCAAATTGACTCTTCAACTTTAACTTTGCCCATTACTTTTGAAAAGACCTTGTGTACTTCCACTAAATTTGACCATTTGACGTTGGATCTTTCCCGGGTTTGAAAGATTTTACAGAACCTTAACTTTGGCAATAACTTTTAAACAGCTTGTGCGGCGGCTTTTATACTTCTAATCCTTAAGCTTGTGCCTAGACCTTCCACTGGATGCCAAAATCTTTGACACCATGACCTAAAAGTCTGACCTACTTTGAGAAGAATTTTTAATTTGGCAATTACTTTTGAACGGTTAGGGTTCGGTTTTTCATACTCAAAATATGTACGTGTAATCCTTGTGATAAAAGCATTGTTTAGATACTAACAATCTCGACCCTTGACTTTGGAGTTTGATGTACTTTTAAAAAAAATAAATCTTGGTCATATCTTCTTGACATTTGGTACTCCGTTTTTGATATTTCACAATTGTATTTCTTGTAGAAAGACCTTTAATTGGGTACGAACATATTTGATTTCATTTGACTGAGATAGTTTAAAACCTTCGTTTTAATTTGTCATACGGGGCATTAGTGTTTCAAAAATAATTTTTGTTTAAAACTAAAGAAGATGGGTGAATAAGGCGGGCGAATTGTCTATAGTGCGACAGATAAGAAGTGAAAAATTTAATCTCAATTAAATTCAAATCTTATTAGATATTTCATTTAATATTTATGTATATTTTATGTAAAATCTCTACAATTTACAAAAATCTCACAAAGACTGAAAATGTTTGCCTATGAAAAAGCTTACACACACTAATAAAAAGAACAAAAACGATGATTTTCTCATACTTAAACATTTTTTAATATGGGTGGGTCTTCTCTCTATTTTTTTTTTGAAAGATGATCCTAAAAGTGTGCAATAAAATACACTTTTTTTGGTTTACAAAAACATGGAGTGAAGACCCACTATACCTTAAAAGTACACTTTTATGACTCAACATTAGTCCATTAAGCCGCATGTCATATCACAAACATGATTTAATAAATGCATAAAATCACCATGAGTGGTGTAGCATAGTGGTTAACGCGTTAGTCTCAAAGCAGTAGGCTACTGATACGTCGGATTTTTATTGCTAGGGTTCTAATCACACGAATACCATCTAATAATTTTATGAAAGAAACATTTTTTACGAGATTTTTTTCTCTCAAAAAAGTTTTTTTTTCTCATAATTTCAAAAAGTTCAATAATTAGAAGCTAATTTAATTACTCAATTCACATACTGAATATGATTTCTTAATATCTGACGCTATAGGCATTCTATCCGCCTTGTTCACACATCTTCTTTCATAAATTAAAGATTGTTACACCTAAATAAGTGTTTGAGGAATTTTTTTCTAAATTGTACCCAGTTTCCCATTGGATAAGATTTCAAAGATTAAATAAATGTAATTAAAACACCCTTTCATAAATTGCAGTGTTTGTTATAGGAAAAATTAAAGAATTCTCTCTCAAATTGTAGTTTTACGATGTTTTAATCTGTTAAATCATAGGAAACGAATGATGGAGAAAAACGACATTGCATGAATGAGAACGGAATTTTTTAATCTGAAGCAGTCGGCAACAGACTCTTTCATGTTTTATAGCATTGACAGATTTTGATACATATTTATATGTTCGGTTTCAAATTCAGATGAAAAGATGAGCATATGAAATCCAAAATTTCTGTGACTTGGGACTGTTAGAATATTTGAGAAACTTCCCTTTACATTTACGAACTTAGATACATGTATCTTACCGGAGAAAGTATATACCCATAGGGATTTAGCGAAAAATAATAACACAACAATATGTTAATTATTTTAGAGAATGTTGGTAATGACAAAACAATATTTGAGAACATTGTTCTTTCTTCGTTCGGTCTTCAGAGCCATTTTGAATTTCATCAACTTTAACGTTGTTGTATATTCCTACGCACTGTCTTTGATGCATAAATTTAAAAATAAAGTGAAAAAGTTTCATATTATTAATTTTAGATCATGATTAAATAAGTTAAATGAACGTAATATTTTATTCCTTTGATCGATGTATCAAAGAAAAAATAGACGGAACTTTTTTATCAATGCACATTAATACGTGTTCCGTCCATTTTTTTCTTTGATACGCGGCTTGGTTTAAGACTCCCTTAGGTACCTCAGCTTATACATGGCTTCGCGATTTCGATTATGACGTCAGGGTAAATCTGTGCGAATGAATCTCGGCGAATAAATAGTAATTTTCTTTCTCCTACACTGTAACATGCTGTCATTTCTCACAAATATTGTGAATTTAAATCAATGTGTAACTTATCTTGTCATCATAACACTATTTGAATGTACCGGTCACGCTAGCCTAGTGGTAGAGTGTTCGCTTCGTGATCGGGAGGCTCGGATTCGATTCTCCTTCGCGGCGCCGCGTTATACGTAAGACGTAAACAAAGGTAGTGACTGTTCCTTCGCCAAGCGCTCGGCACCAGAAGTGAAAGTCACGGGTCTTTCGGATTTGACCTTAAAGACGTAGGTCCCGTGTCACAGTTGGCGCTGGCACGATAAAGAACCCTCAATGGCCCAAAGTGCCGAGTATAGATCTTAATTTGAAGCCCTTCATCGGCATACAGTGACGTCTCCATATGAGTGAAAAATTATCGATTGGGACATTAAATAGTACACAATCATTCAATCACTATTTGAATGTAGAATTAAAGACACGCACCTTGATCTCGCTGTGCTGACTGTAATGTCGTCATAGACTTGTTTGACACTCAGTTTCTCTGTACTTGAGACATAGATCAAGCTTTTATTGAAGCATGTAAATATCAAATAATAAAATAAATAAGGGTGATTTGTCTAAACTCCAGTCATATTTTTGAATGTATTTATTAATATTTTCCAGTATTATTACATTGAAAGCAATTAGGTCTCATATTAAATCGCATAAAAGTTTATTAATCCCGGGCATGAAGAAGGTGCTCCTAGCACTTTTTGGGTTAAGAAATTCGTTTTAAACAAAACATAACAATTTTCTTAGCAAACAATTAAGGTGATTCGAACCTGTCGTGAAAGTAATTGGAATTTTAAAAGATGGTTACCTTCGGATAAAGGACAAGTTTATGGTTTAAGAATCATAAAAAATTTTATATGTTAATGCGCTCGTTTCCATGGCAACAACCTCTGAATATACCCTTGTTTAAAAATGTAAAATCTGTGAAAAAATTCCCACTGCCAGTAAAAAAAGGATTAAAAAAAATTATACATTATAATCAGAATTTATTTATTTTCATGTATAAAATAGGGTAACAAATCAAGATTATCTTGATATTATTTACTCATAGATATTGCATTCCAACAACATTGTATGACAGCCTGAATTTCCTCTGTCTTCTTAAAAATTGTGCATTTTTTCTTAACCTTGAGAACAAAAATCGCTATAAACCCACTCTAAAAGTAATTGGATATTTATTATCTAAACTTTATTTTGGATGAGAGATATATAGCTAAGTAATGGAGGGCAGAAATTGGTATGGTCATGAGCCAAATAAAAAGATATGCTAATCCGCATTTCCTCTGGTCTATTTTTAATAATTACCACGAATTACATATATTGGCAATTAAGGCTATTAAAATCAATCAAAAGTAATCAATTATCAATTTATTTAATTAAATATGTTAAAAACTAACTTTATATAATACTTTGAAGGAAAATTAATGTAAAACTTTCAAGATATTTAACATTTACATTCCAAATTTCCTCTTTTTTTTTTTAAACCTTAAACTTTTGAATTGATACTTGGTGCGTTAAATTAATTACCCAATATCGTGATATCAAAATTTTCATAATTTTTTAAAAGATGTAATATGTATACCTAATAAACATGATTAAGAAAATAACACTGACATATTTACACAGTTCAGGTGAAGAAAAGTGCACATTAAACATCTGAATTTCCTCTGACTTTTTTAAAATAACAAATCGATAATGTACAAGGTTTGCCTATATCAAAAAAATCCATGGACTGATCTCTCCCTTTCATTTAAAATATACTGGAAAGTGGAACATAATGAGATACATATAATCCAATTTCTGTAAATTAAGAATCTGATCGACAATTAACAGTCCAAACTTCCTGTCTGAACACACACACAGGAATTTTTAACATTGAAAAAAAATCTAGAAAAAGGTGTGACAAAAATGACAATTTACTTGTATCAGTGCTAAACTTTTGCAAGCTTAAACTTATTAAACGCATATAAGGGCACACTGAATCAGGGAAAAACAGATTTAGTATGACAAAGTTTCTCAAAAAAGTATATCATGAACATGCATGCTGCAGGTCTGTTCATACAGCAGTGCTTAGAATCTTAAGGGAGGTTCCGACACAAATGTTTCTTCGGTTTTTTTCCCTGTGAACTTCAATCTTTTGACCATCTGTGGCTTTCATTTGGTAAAATTCTGACCATGTAGGTCTATAATAGCAGCTCAAGTATAAACATTTCAGTCTTGTTGACATGTGGCCGAATTAAATACAGATGTGAATCTCAGCCTGAAAAAAATACTTTACTTCAGTTACAGCCTTAATGACAAGTGGACACTGAATACTGTAAACCAACTTTTATTCGCGACGACTTTATTTCGCGATTTACCGAGAGTAACCTTGTTCGCGACGATTTCTTTTCGCGATCAAGCCTTTTTGGAACTGTTTAAGTAGAAAAAGAGACTTTAAGGACGCATTCGCGGCGAGAAATATTCGCGATAACGATGCTCTCGCGAACCTCGCGAAAATTTCTCGCACGCGAATAAAAGTTGGTTTACAGTATACATGTAATAATGTAACATTTATTATAAGGTTGCCTATTACTGATTGATTATTGGTATTTTAGTCATAATAGTTCAACTGAAATAAAAATAGCATGATACCTCAAAATATACGAGGGCCGTTCAAAAATTACGCGGACTTGTTGCACAGAAAAAATATTTTACGACATATTTGGGCAAAATGTCACACATAATATAAAAGAATCTTTACTTATATGGTCTTCAAAATTTCATATCAAAATGTTGTAAATTGGTATCAATTTTGAGTGATTTTTCCGGACATATCATTAAGTCACGGAGCAGCAAAATCTTCGACGTCACAGGCATTATAAAAAAATATGTGATTGAGTTTTCATTTTCTCAACATTTTCCCAAGAGTACCTGTACAGTTTGACTTACCTTATCTACTCAACATCCAAACAACATTTCTTGTCAAGCTTAAAATCTATTAAACAAGTAAAGAATATTCTTTTTTTGTTTTAAAACCAAAAACTGCAGGTATTTATCAAATTTAGTGTGATATTAGTGACTCTCAATCACGTTCTTTACACAGTGCGGATGAAGTTTTCGTTGATAATCTTCTTCCCGTCCTCCCGTACAGCCTTTTTACAGAGGTCTAACGGTCTAAAATTTCAATTTGCTTTTTCTAGACGAATGTCACGAATACCCTAGTTTACTAAATGTTTTATTATGCATATTTTGGATCTATGTTGGCGATATCTCGAACATTTCACATGATTTAACAAAATGTGGTGCGCCGTCAATTCAGGGGACGTCATTTTCACAGTCGTTTTAACGGTAATCGCATCAGAGAAAAATCACTATATTTATGTTAGTACTTCAAATATCACGCCAGAAATATATATACATAATGATAGAACAATTTAAAGATACATTTGAGAAAATTGTCGAAAAAATATCGCGAATTATAGAAAATAGATGAGTTCAATTTTGGATTTCGCGTGCTTTTGCTTCAAATTTTTTGTCGTGCTCCGTACCTCTCCATCAGCGATATCAACATACCGATAATTTTAGCAGATTGTTTTTAACTACAGATATTTTGCCCTAAATTTATTGGAATCTTTGAGATACATATTTCTGTGAAATTTCATAACTCTATGACGTCTGTAAGAGTAAATAATAGCACAGTCCGCGTAATTTTTGAACGGCCCTCGTATTTACATTCCACATGAAATTACCCTAAAAAATGCATAGAATTTGGGGCACATAATACACCATTACATGGACGGTGAGGTCAGAAGAAAGAAATTTTTTTAAATTTTTATATTAATGTCACAAACCTTGAATGCCATTCAACAATTATAAGGGAAAAATAAAAATTCACTCTCACATAGAAGAGCTTAACACACATGTAGTAGATTTGGCATAGCTCTTCCATTATTTTTAACTTATCCAAAGGATAATTTGCAGATGATGCAGGGAGTTAAAAATGTGTCAGTGAATACATGTATATCAGTGTTTGAAATAATCGTGCGCCAGACTGCCACAGATGCACAAGTTTTGTCTAGGACGAACAGATTTGCACGTATTGACGTCAGCTCGCTTGACGTTTAATTGAAATTCAAATATTTGATAAAACTCTCAAATCAACTAATATTGCTGGTTGCAAAGTGTAACAAGCAAACAAGTAGAATTCATCAGCCTATAGGTCTGGGATTGAATATGTAGTGAGCTGGCCCCATTCACATTATTGCTAAAACAAACTTATATATGACAAATTATTTTTTCGGGATAGTACATTTTTAGCAGGGTTCTGGCTAGTATATTTTTAGCAGGATTCAGGCTAGTACATTTTTGGCAGGATGGACAACTTTCACTAGCAATCAGCCCTGCATGTCTAGCTAATTTTACAGTGAGTTTCATGCACTGTGTATATGCATTGCATTTTTATTTTCTGATGCGCATAACTCAATTTGTTTGGATAAAACAATTACAGTTAAGAGACAACATCTTTTAAAATATAATAATTAAATGCATAATTACAGTGCTAACAAAGCTGGTATCAGTTTCAGTACATGTGTATACTGTATATAGGTTCATGTTCGCCCACTTTATTTTTGCCCTTTCACACTTGCAAACAATTTTGCCCCACGTTAAATTTGCCAAGTAATATTTTGTTTAAGAAAATTGAATACGCCAAACCGAGGTCAGGGACAAAGGGGCGACAATAAAACGGGGCAAAAATTTCCCGATATACAGTAATATGTACATTTTATCAGTCTGACATGCACTATAATTACTTTACATGCATTAGGATGTTTACTTTTTAAAATTTGAAAACTTTATCAATTGAGCATTATATTTTTTCATACCCAGCTAGATGGTTTCAGCATCACAGTTATCTTTTAGTGCATCTGGATCAAAAGGTTATGCTGCCAAGTGTTAATTGACTTAGGTTGTACATTTTGACTGCCTATTGATGGAAACTCCAGTCTGTTCCTTTGGCGGTTATTAAAAACCTATTGAGATAACAAATCACTCGTCTGACAGTATTCAACTTACATGTGAATTTTATAGACATTTCTCAAATTTCATGGACCTTCCTTATACTTTACTTCCGAACAAAAACTAATATGTGAATGTGTGCTGTAAACAAGAATCATGCAGGGGCCTCAATAATGTTTCAGAAAATAAAAATAATATGAGAATTGGTCAACTGTCTTTTTCTTTTTTTTTTACAAAAAGCCTTTTTATCATGTTATTTTACACTGCACATCACCTAACATTACATCAAGATTGTAGGTAAGACATAATCTCATATTTCAAAAATCATAAACATGGGACCTATTTTTTCAGTCAATGACAAATGTGCATGATTTTGAGCTATTTTATCATTTGTGTGAATAAATTCAATATTGTTTGAAAAGACAAGTACAAAATATCATTATCACGAGAATAAGAATTCACTGCATCAATGGCATCATTGACTCATTCCATGCACTGCCCATAGCAGCCATGTGATGTTTTCCCCTTCATTTTCGATACGAGACAAAAGCGTACATTGATCAGATTACACTTCTGCATTTACTCGATGAGCTAACCTTTCATAATGATGTAAATAAATTGTGTCTTCTAAGAAGACATTACGTACTAAACATAATGTCATTAGTGAACTTGTAAGTGAAGGCTCAGTCGGAACGTTTTATACTTACTTGAAAATCATGGTGTACACCTTGATCTGTACCTAGAAATGAAATCGCCTGGACAGTTGTTGTAAGGTACCATACAGCGTAGATCAGTACACTTATTGCATACAAAAACAACCGAATAAAGTGTTTTTTTCTTTGAAAATAAAAGAGACAGTCTCTCCGTAAACATGGTGGCGGAAAACGGCCAGGGAATTGTCGTAAATTCCTAATGTCGGAATAAGACTCGAAAAGCTGATGTTGAATAATTTTATCAGAATTCTATTGAAAATTACTTTATTTGTCTCGCAAATTGTTGATTATGATCCATTATTTTACTTTGATAACAAAATGAGAACGAAATTATTAGTATCACGACATCAGCAGTGATCAACCTATTTTCAGCAGTTCGAGTTGCGCGGTGGATTTGATTTCGTCACGTTCGAATCACCTTAATCGTATATCGTTGAACTTTTACGATCCTTGTATAGTCGTACATTTTTTTCTAATCTTAAACTTGCCACGTGACAAACAGCAGATGTAAGTGAAGTCACTTTGGCCGTACTTGGCAGAAACCCCATACATGCATATGTAATAGTAAAAATCCCGTTAAATAAAAACTCATGCTAATAAAAATAATATCATCATTATATTGATTTTCACGGAATATTTTAAAATGCATTTCCTATTGTCGGCCTTAAACTAGCTGGGACATCAATTACAGGAAAAAAAAAATATTATATTCATATCTTATCTCATTTGGATACAGACACCACCCTTATTTAAAACAAGAGCCCAAGGGCCTTAATGGTCACATGAGTATGTATAATACAATTAGTAAACATGGATTATGAAATAATCTTATAGATGAAGCTTTATAAAAAAAAAAAAAACAAGAGAAATAGGATGACAAGTATCAATGAAAAACTAATAATTTGTCTAATATTTAGTTACAAGTCATATAAATAAAGTTCTTATCTGTTTCCCATTTATCACTTTCACCAAGACTATATATAACCAGGAGACTTATTGTTCACAGAACAATAAGAAGTCTTTCCACCTTCTTTGAATTTCAATTTTGTTTTATATCTGACTTCTTGATATTAAATATCATGAGTAAGAAACCAAATTCGTCTTAAAGGATAGATAAAATGAAAATTAAAGAATTGATATGACCTTGACCTTTGACCTTGAAAAATATTCCAGGTCAAAGGTCAAATATTACAAAATATAAATGCATTTGACCCAATGCTCCTACAACTTATAGTTTTCAAGTTATAAGGTTTAATTATAAGTACAAAGACGTTAAATATCAATTACTCATATAAGGGGTCATCAGATCCTTTTGCACTTATACAGTGAAGTTATGCCTAAAGACCCTTAAGACATTAGAGAAGGTTTGGTGTCACTACAGTCTACGGTTTTGGAGGAGTAGCGATAACAAGGTTTTTCGCATGAGGGCAATAACTTTGAAAAGGGTTAATCTTAGATCTTAGGACAAGAATGAAATATTTGAAATAGGTTTAAGAGTACATATTAATGATGAAAAGACCTTAGGTATATGTTGAAAGATAACAGAGATGTAAAAAAAATTTAATATCTCAGTTTTGGAATGACCTTGACCTTTGACCTTTGCATAAATTTCAGGATCTAAGGTCAAGAAATTTTATGCAGTTGGTCCCATGTCTCTATGACTTCTCATTTCGAAAATTTTTAATTATTTGTAAAATTTAAGAAGTTTCAGGGGCAATAACTCATTGAAGGGGTCAACAAATACTTTCGCAATGAATCATTGAAGTGTCTACTAAATAAGTCAAAGACAATAGTGAAAGTTTCTTTTCTCTATGGTTTACGGTTTCGGAGAAGTAGCGATAACAAGCTTCTTTGCGAAAGGGGTAATAACTCCGAAAGGGGTCAAAGTTCATATACGCAGGGTCAAATGCAAAAATCTTTTTTGGAGTGCATTCTTATGAACTATAATTCTTATAAATCTTTTCGATAAATCTTGAAACTCAAAATCAAACGGCGGAAAAATAATAAAAAAATAAGGAAAAGGAAAAAAAGAAACAGAAGGAAATCAATAGATCTTTCCACAGAAAGGTGGAAAGATCTAAATATATTCCATATATAACAAGCATTGCTGAAAATTGAAATTACCAAACAATAAGTCGTTCTGTTTACTTTGGCCTCTCTTGGTCATTTAACATTTATAAGTTATTTTTGTCTCTTTTTTACGAGTTGATAGTATCAACTCATGTTATGTTACTGGTAAGGGATTCCCTATGTATCAAAACTAATCAAATTTTCGTTTGAGTATTTTGCATACAGGTTCTTGTATAATATTGGCTTATTTATAATATTCATGATCCACAGAATAAGAATATATTTCCTAATATGCTTTTATATGTTTATAAACTTAAATATTTATTATTTATTTTTCTGGAATTTGTGTAAATTCGCGAGAGAAAATAGAGCAAGGGTCATGCAGTCAAAAATTGTGATATGTCGTGCAAACAAATTTTGATTTTTAAGTCAATAAATATTTTGTATTATAAGTCAGTAATTTGAGAACAGATTTTGAAAGGAAATTTACAAAATTAAATATTGTACAACCAGGTTATTTTTACAACTGGCGTATTAGTGGTATTTAAAAAAAAATCATTCTTGCACTGATCCAGTATGCTAATGAACAGTGCAATTTTCCAGCGATAACTAGACTAGTGATAAAATGTTGACTAAAGAATGTTTGTAAACAAAGCGAGAAACAGGTAGTAAAGATGCTCGAAGTAAATCAAATATTAATCTTAAAGAGAAGAAATGAGCTGTACCAGTTGATAAAATATTTTTTAATGTATTTGTTATTAATTCTTTTGCAAACAATAAAAGAACCACTGTCTTCCACAATTTAGATCTGTATCGACAGCAAGCTTTATATACAGTAAAGGTCACTTATCATGCCTGTGACTTTTATCTCATATCAATTGTCGGCGCTACTCTGGAAAGAGAGTTCCTTTATACTATATCCAGCTGTATCTTACTATCAGATGCTGGCAATGTGATACAGTGAATTCAAAGTACAGAAGACAGTACAAAATAATAACCAAAAAAACCAAATAGATTAAATCGGGTGGTATTCATAAATAAAATGTGAAATGTTTGTTTATAAATGTGAATCAAGAGACTGAAAAATCAAATATATTCAAAAGTAGATATATGATGTAAACGATTAATATACCATGCCATTGTGATGAATTTGAAGTCTTCAGTCAAAAGCCAAAATGAATTGAAATATTCATCGTGCATAAATTTATCAATGAAAGTCACGTAGTTGAATTACAAGAGAGCTAAATTAAAAGAAATGTACTATTACATGTGCATATCAATTGAAGTCAGGTAGATATATTTCTGACAAAACAAAAAAAACCCATAAAATTAGTGTGTTAAAAGTCAAAAGAATTGAATTTTAAGAGCAGCTAAATTGGGAGAATTTGAATATTTATTTTGCATATAAAATTCAAGTCAAGAATTTCACGAGTGGCTAAATCAAGAAAATATCAAATACGTACACATGAAAATTTTGAAAGACGTGGAGCTGAATATCAATAACCATGGTGAACAAATCAAGAACTTTGAATTTTGTAATATGCATATCAATGAAAAAAAAAGGATTTGAAATTTAAAAGTGGCTTAATTGCCAGAAATGAAATACATTGATGTGTACTAATGTCAATTATTTGTCAACTTATGAAAATAGTGAAAAAATTTAATGTGCATATTAATGGGTTTTTTTATTTGTAAGTAATAATTCCCTATTTGTGATAATGTCGAAGGTTGGTCCTCTTAGTTTCAAATATTTGTGTGAAAAGCTGGTTTAATTTTTTTTTCATCATAGCATATAACACATATAGCCCAAATATGGATCAGAGACCTTAACTCACTTTAACATGTGTGGCGCAAAGTAAGAAGTTGATCCTTACATTGTGCATTCGAACCCACTATGGGAGTGGCGACCGGTCCTTCAGATTAGACCGCATAAATCAAGATCCTGTGTTGCAGTATGTGCTGACACGAAAAAAAGATCCATCACTGATCAATGGCCGTAAAGTGCCGAATATAGGGCAAAATTTGCAGCTCGTCACTGGCAAGTGATGGGGTCGAGTCATATGAGTAGAAATTTTTGAGAGGGATGTTAAAAAACACACAAACAATAGCATCAACTCATAGCAGTACTTTAAGTATTTTGAATATTTATCTATTATTTTCAAGTTTATCTGATCATTAAAACTATAAAAGTAGTTTTTGTATTATAAAAAAAAAATCTTGTATATTTTTTATTCTATTAATTTTTTTTAAAATTATTTATAGAGATAACTTATCAAAAAGTGAATTACAAAGGGGACTAACCTCTCTCAGAAAATACATCTTTATAGAGCCATGAACAGGATCAGAACACAAGAGGGGCAAAATGAAAACCATCTATCCTTCTGTGTTCAATAAACCAGAAGTGAAAAGATAATTAGATAGATTACACGATCAGTACTGGTTCCTGCCGACAAAGCAGGTAACAACATTGTCTTCGTTTGTAAGGTTCATTATATAAATTGCATTCTAGAAGAACTTGGATTTAATTCTACAAGTGGTAATCCTACTTATACTCATACTTCTCTTTCTAAGGAAGAAATTCTTCAAAATCATCTGTCAGTTTTGAATACTTTTGATATTCCACAAAGCCAAAATGAATTTGAACTACCTTATATATATTGGATTCCGAGACTTCATCAAAATCCTTACAAACAAAGTACATTGCAGGATCCAGTAAATGTTCAACCAAGCCTCTTTCGTTACTTCTCACTAAAATATTGACAGTAGTGAAGGAAAAACTTCAAGAGTACTGTGCAACTATACAACTACTTTATATTTTGAGAATGCCGATCCCGAAAAGTTCATTGTATATAGCATATGAATTTACATGACATATAAACTTGTTTTAAAAAAGTAAAAAAAATATATATAAGATATCCGCTTGCAATTGAATTACTTG